AGTTATTCTTGACCCTGTTTTACTGATTGAGGGTCTAGAAGGTTAAAGAGATGCTCAAGACCTTTTAGACAGAAAGTAGCAGAGGTCAGACTTGACTGAGATCATACAACTCTACTGCTGGGCTCATTTGGGCTCTCAGAGCCTCCCACTCCAGATGAAATTATTTTACCTTTGTCATAGAGATTCACATATCTTCCCACTCCAAACATGCCTTGCCCTCCCAGGGCAGATGGTACCAAGTATTTCCTGTGCCATCCATGGCCATGATTGAATCTAGCCAGGACAGGAGATGATGACTAGTGATGAGGCTGCAGCCCTGAGAAGAGGAAATAGTTGTGAGGCTGTGTACTGTTATGCTGTTGGAGTAGAAATGTTGCTTAAAATTGTCCTGGCTCAGGTTCCTCTTCTCTGGAAGAGTGAACCCAGTGCCTGGATTTTGGGGTCAAGCTGGCAGGACTGGAAGTGCTGATGGCAGAGACCATTGCTCTATGGCTAGAGGGATGACATCTTATTATGTGCCCACAAACCCACTTCCAACTGCAAAGGACACGGTTAAATTGGAAAAAGGCAAGTGTGAAGTTTCTCTTTTTTTACTGTGACTACCATACTATGCCTTGAGCATCCAAGCGAGGTTTGAGTCTGTAGATAAACTCGTCCTTCCATGTTTCTGGGACAAGGATAATGTTGGATGAGATGACAGTTCCCTGCTTCAGCGGATGGAAGTGGGGTACCCTAACAGTTTGCATATGGCTGAGTGTATCCCCCAAAGTTTCCATATTGACATTTTATCACCATTGTGAGGCATTAAGGGAGTGCAAACCTGCTCCAGCTATGATGTTTAGAGGCAGGGCCTTTGCGAGGTGATTAGGATTAGATATCAGGCAGAACCCCATGATCAAATCCCAGTGACTTTGTAAGAGAGAGAGGCCAGAGGAGGCACACATCCACACATGCTCCCTGTTTCTTGCTATGCCACCCTGGGACTCTGCCAACAAGAAGACAATTACCAGAGTTGCCTTTTGACCTTGGCCCAGAACCATTAGCCAAAATGAACCTCCTTTCTTTGTAAGTTTACCCAGCCACAGGTATTTCTTTTTAGTAACAGAAAATAGACTAACACAGTGCCTTTAGCTGGGGCTAGTCCTTCCCGCCCCCACCGACCTTCTCTATCCCCTTCTTGGACTTTGCAGCTAAATCAGGATTTGAAGGGGATTAGAAAAGTGATCCTAGATGCTTGCCCTAAATCCCAATCACCACAGCTGCAAGAAAGAGAGAGAAAGCCAAAAATGAAACAGTGAAGCCAGTCATAAAAATGAGAAATGGGAAAGGCCCATGATGTCATCCTGTCCAGGCCAGCTTGCCAGGCTGTGACTCGTCACTGAGTGCCAGCACACACACCTTGTCATTGCATTTCCACAAGTCTTAACAGTTTTAGAAAGGAGACATCCCCAAACACCAGTAGCCTGGCAGGAAACCAACCTTCTGCCACACCCACATGTAACACTGGGGGCCTGATAAGTCTAATATAATATATTAATATTAAATTATTATAATATAATAATTTGAGTTTCTCAAAACAGAGGCCCCACAAGCTGCCTTACGGGACCCATAAATAAGACCAATATAAAACCCGACATTTGGGCTGGAGATGTGAAGAGTGCTTGCCTAGCGTGTACAAGGTCCCAGGTTCGATCCCTGCCACCACAAGAGAACAAAACAAAATAAACATAAACCTGACCATTGTAGGATGTTTTAAAATCTTTTTCTTTTCTTGTTTTTGTTTTTGCTTTCTTCAGCATTTCTTTTCTTTTTTTTTATTCATTTATTCACATATGCGTACATTGTTTGAGTCATTTCTCCCCCCTGTCCCCCACCCCCACCCTCTCCCCCCCAGTAAAATCTTTTTCCAAAGCACTTTCATTACAATGGCTTGATTTCATTTTCAGAACAAGCTATTGAGAAAAGAGCTAGGAGTATTGCACCCATTGGGTAGATGAGAAAATGGAGGCACTAAGAGTTTTCAAACACTTCATAATTCAGAAAAAATAAAAAATATGTGGTGATGACACTAATAGCCATCTCACTGGGTAGTGGTGAGAATTTAAGGAAGTGATGTGAGTGAAGAGTCAACACATGGTGGCTGCATATGCAGGCTCTCTGCCACCCTCCCAACCCCAGCTCTCCTTCCTTCCTCAGCCTTCATTGCACCCTTCCTTAGGTTGTTTAAGAGCAAGGCTTTAGTTTACAGCTGTGCAGTGGTTCTGCACACAGGCATCGCCAAGGAGGTGAGGGGAACTAAAAGCCAGCCAAGCCCTGAGTCCCAAGGGCTGAGTTTTCCCTGAGATATCTGGAGGAGGTACACTTCTCATTGGCCCTGGGCTGGAGCAATAGAGGACAGAGCCACAGGTCCCAGGAAGGAGGACAAGGGCCAGGTACTCTGAGGCCCCAGGCTAGCCCCTCTCTAGGGGCTAGTCTTCATTTTTGGACCTACTGCTAGAATAATGTAGATCAATGATCTCTGGATGCTGAGAAGAGCAGAGACTAAGCTTAGGCCCTGCCATGAAGGAGGATATTAATTAATGACTCCTTCAGAGGGAGGAAGGTACACGGAGGACTGGCCCCTGAGAACACTGTTCCTCTGGAGATCTTTGAAAGCAAGTGTTTTTGCTCCGACTGGGCTTTTTATTATGGGTCTTAGTCATGGCGTCAACACCCACCACGCATCACAAACAATTTAAAGGAAAGCCTGAAGGTCCCTCTAAAATTGTGGGCTAAACTGGCTCAGTTCCCATCAAAACAAATGGGTAGTTCACAAAAATACCACAAAGGTTCAAAGTGTTGTTGGAGGTTTCAAGTGTTGTGGTTTTGAGTTGAAATCATCAATCCTGGCAGTCCAAGTGACTGACTTTTCTTCAAGAAACCCTCAGGTCCCTTGAGGACTCAGAAGCACCATCCAGCTTGTCTCTGGAAGGGCTAGTTTTAATGGTTTTCAGGCTTGAGCATGCATCCCAATTCCCTGAGGGACTTGTTAAAAGCTAAGATCAGTGGGCCACAGCCCCAGAGCTTCTGATTCAGTAGGTCTTGGGTAGTACCTGGAAATTTGCATTTCTAAACAATTTCCAGAATGAAGTCCATGCTACCAGTCCAGGGATCATAGTCTAAGAATCACTAATCTAGAAAATAGATCTCTGGAAAAAAGTTTCAGGAAGTCTCAACCTTTCCATCTCACTGTGAATTCCACAAGGGTCAGAAACTAGTCTCATTCATCTCTGAAGTCATGTGAAGACACAGTAAGTCTTTAGTCAACATTTGTAAAATTAAATGAAATCCCAGGTGGTAAAACAAGGCTTCAGGTAAAGGGGATCAAATCAAGGAAGCAGGTGATGACAACCATGTTATCAAAAAGTTCCAGCGTGAGTGAGTCCTGTGAATGCAGTCATAGATTTTAGGACCCAAATCTTTGCCATTTTGTGGGGGAGCATAGCCACTTTTAAACTCTCAGTTTATGGAATCATAGATTAATCAAATCTTGAGCTGGAGAGGTCCAAACTGAGACCAGGCACTCACTTTACAGCTAGGGAGACTAAGGATTGACAAGATGACTCTACCTTTGCAGGGCTTCACGGCTCTTTACAGTCAAACCTTGGACTGCGATGTTACATTTTTCATCACCACAAGGCAGGTACTCCTAGAAAATTCTCAATATAGCTAGCATAACAATATGCTCTTTCAACTTTTTTTTTTTTTCATGGTACTGAGGTCTCTATCACTTGAGTCACACCTCTGGCCCTACAATATGACCTTTGCAAATACTTGGGAGGACTCTGAAATATTTGTGTGAAGAAATTTTCACTTTCTGTCCAAGGGACTGCTAACAGATGTTTCCAGAAAATGGACTCTTCTGTGTGCTCCTCTCATACTAACTGTTGGTTCTGATGAAGGACATCCCTGTCACCTTGGCCTGGGGGAAGAACACACAACGATTTTCCTTTTGATCCCTATGACAGGACTTTCAAGAGTTAATACATTCCTGGTTGGTCCCTTTTCTGCTACTGTCTCCCAGATAGAGATCTGAATTCCCCCTCAACCAGACTGGCACAATAGCAATAATTGCTATGGTGGTAGAAACATCCACCTTGAAAACCACTGCTAGACTCAATTGACTTTTCTTTTTGGTGGGAGGGACTGGGAAGCAGACCCAGGGCCTCACATGTTATGCGTCTATCCACTAACCACTGAGTTCCATCCCCAGCCTCTGACTCAGCTAACTTTTTATCATGTAATTTTTCAATAAGAGACATAAGTTTTGTAATATGATACTAAGATTCCCCATCATCCATGACTTCTTGCACAAATTTCTGTCTGAATTTAAAGGTCTATAATTGGCTTCAGGCTACTTCTCCAACTAACTCTGTCTGCAACTCGTATTCACTCTCCTCCAGGGTCTCATCACTTAACACTGTTATCCACCACCTTCACTCCATCTTGGGTTTTTGTTCATGTGTCCTTCTCCATGTGTTTCTTCTCTTCAATCCAAACACTGCAAACTATAAGGCAGCTCATGTCTTATCTCACTGACCTCAGCCCCTGATATACCTGTTCTCTTAATGTCTGTTGTCAGAGTCATAGTTTATTCTTTCACTGTCCTGTTAGTTAAGTCTTCCCAGGTGGACTGCAAACTCTTTGACATTTTCTCTCCAGTGCCCTGCCAAGCTTATGCACCATACAGCACATAATAAAATACTGATCAAGTGCTTGCCCACCTAAGAACTGCATTGGTGACTTCTCTAGAAGCTAATTTGGTCATTTATTTTGGAAAAAGAAATCCTATTTGTAGCCAAGAGTCAAGTGCAGTCATACACATAATACCCTGATAACCTTCCTGAGTGGGGAGGAGAACTGATGTTTTCTGGAGTTTTGAAAGGTGATCATAAGCCCCAGGACTTCTAATCCTGTCCCTAACTCTCTTCTGATGCGCTTGACCTCTGCTCTTTTCCTAGAGAGCTCCTGTGAGAACAAGCGGGCAGACCTTGTCTTCATCATCGACAGCTCCCGCAGTGTCAACACCCAGGACTATGCAAAGGTCAAGGAGTTCATCATGGATATCTTGCAGTTCTTAGACATTGGTCCTGATGTCACCCGAGTGGGTCTGCTCCAGTATGGCAGCACCGTCAAAAATGAGTTCTCCCTGAAGACCTTCAAGAGGAAGTCTGAGGTGGAGCGAGCTGTCAAGAGGATGAGACATCTGTCCACCGGCACCATGACAGGGCTGGCCATCCAGTATGCCCTGAACATTGCATTTTCAGAAGCGGAGGGGGCCCGGCCACTGAGGGAGAATGTGCCTCGGGTCATAATGATTGTGACAGACGGGCGGCCTCAGGACTCAGTGGCTGAGGTGGCTGAAAAGGCCCGGAACACAGGCATCTTGATCTTTGCCATCGGTGTGGGCCAGGTGGACCTTAACACACTGAAGGCCATCGGGAGTGAGCCCCATGAGGACCACGTCTTCTTGGTGGCCAACTTCAGCCAGATCGAGTCACTGACCTCAGTGTTCCAGAACAAGTTGTGCAGTAAGTCCTGCTCCTCTGTGGCTCTTTGAGGGGGCCCATTAGGATTCATTCCTTCAAGTGTTCACTCTGTGCTATCATCTTCCAGGTGCTGTGCTAGCAATGGGTGTTTAGCCAAAGCCAAAAGAGAAGAGTTCTTTTGGGTCTTACACCTTGGCCAAAGAGACAGATAATAAGCATGTAATTATACAAATATGTAAGTTGAACAGTATAATGGAGGAAAAATTCAGAGCATAATGGAGCAGCAGACACCCCAGGGCCTAACTAGATCAGCGTGCTCAGGAAGGCTTCCCTGGGGAAGAGACTTTTAAACTTAAAAGGCAGAATGGATCTGGGCTTGGTGGCTCATGTCTTTAATCCCAGCTACTAGGAAGACAGAGATGGAGAAAACTACAGATCAAGACCAGCAAGGCAAAAAGTTAGTGAGATTTCCCAATTTCCACCAGTAATGGTACATGCCTATAGTTGAAGCTACAAGGGAGGTTTAGGTAGGAAGATTGTGGTCTGAGACTGGCTGGGACAAAAAGCATAAGACTCTATCTGAAAAATAATTAAGCATGAGGTCCTGAGCTCCAAACCCAGTACTGCCCCCGCCCCACAAAAAAAGGCAGAATAAGTAAGAATGGATAGACAAAATTTTTCTCCAGCACATTGGGCTCTCCAGGCATTCTCTAAGTTGGAATATGTGAGTTGGATTAGGGATGGAATAGATGGTAGAAATCATAATATAATTTCCCGTTGGATGGTGGAGAATACCAAGGCATTTTTGCCCCATGATGGTGCTGGTAGTGGGTGTTTTCTTAACTGACAAAGAGATCCAATGCATGGGGAGGACCAAGACATGGTCCCAGCATCTCCCCCCTGCCCCAGCCCCACCCTGTAAGATGGCAGGTGCTTCTCTCCCCCAATCCTTCTACAGGAAGACGCCTCCCATGTTCTCAAGCTGCATTCTTCTATGTTGAGTTTTTCTTCTTTGCCTTGCTTTCTAACCCTCTTCTGCACATGGCTTCTCCCTCCCTTCCTTCCCACATTCCTTCCAGTGACCTTCAAACCTAGCTCAGCCTCCACTTTTCTCAGCATGACAACTTGGTGTGTCCCTAGTTTCCTGCCTCTGCAGCTGCCTTCTCATCTCGTCCTCCTCCAGGATAGCCAACCCATACTACACTCCCATCCCTGAAACCTAGAAACAGGCATTCTGACCTGCTAAATCATGTTTCAGCCTGCCTTGTCCACCCTAGTGACCCCGTTCCCTCCAACTACCATACTTCTTTGATGGAGAAATAAAAGGAAATACTTATTTTTAAATGACTAGTCTTTCCCTGGACTATGAATAGAGAATGAGCTTAAGAGCCAGGCTTCTCACCAACTCTCCAGGAGGGAGACTTATCCCTTTGAGAGTTATGAGGACCACCTCTCAGAATAGACTTCTATGATATAGGACTCAGGGAAGAAGAAAAGGGATGTAGTTTCTGTGTGTCTTTAAAAAAAAAAAAAAAAACCCTTGCCAAGAACTAACCTCAAAAAGCAGAGACCCTTTTTTCTCTTGATTCCAGGGTCAAAAGATTTACTTAAAAAATCAATGCCATGAAAGAAAAATAACCCTTTTCTTTTCAATGTCATTTGGAAAGTGTTCAGAAGTGCCATTTCCCTGGCGCCACAGTGAGGCTGTGTTATTGTGGTGCACCGTGGCCTAAGTCAACTAGAAAACTTCAATCAGTGGAGCACACTGCAGACATTTTTAAAATGATTTCTGCAGAATTTATGTACCCCTTTTCCTGGAAAGGGGTCTGTGTGTATTGCAAGTTTTAATGGAGGAATTCTTTTACAAGCACTCTGGATTTATTAGCAAATGGAAAGATATATGATAAGGCAAAGGAGCTAGGCAATACGACTGACCACCACCCAACTCCCTGTGTTGTTGAACATGGACTTTTTCATGAAAGTACCTTTTGTGTGTGCTTGAAGGCAGGGCAGCAAAGTTAAAAGGCAGTTTGGATCCCCTCCCCCATCATCTCTGTTGTAATCTGGAAGCCCTAAGAAAACATTGATGTTACCTCCATTCAATCCGGTGGCCTGAGAAATGAATCCTCTAAGACTCCCTCAACCTCTGCAGGAGCTACAGGCTGTGCAGCACCACCAGACTCTGTCGAATAGCCTCATCAACTGTCTTGAGAGGCTGAAGAGGCTCCAGAGCCTCTTTATCAGCTGTGCAGTAAAGAGCGCAATCACTAACATCTGTTAAGTACTCTCTCTTACGTTTCCACAGTTGATCCTCATGAAAGCCTGGGAGGGCAGGCTGCATGATACCATCAGTCCCTTCTTATAGGTTAGCAAGCTTGTTAAGTCAGTCAGCCAAGAACAAAGAGCCAGGAGGTGGCAGAACTCTGATTCCAAATCCCTGGGTCATTTCATTCCACCACATGTTGGGAATTGTAAGTTCCTGTCTTAAGGTGAACCATTTTCTGGTTGCAACCCCCACAGTCCAGCCTTGCCAAGTAAACCTACCCTGAGATTCACATTTGCCTGGCATTGGTAAAACTGTGAGGAGAGGCCTCAAGAGCCCCACCAGGGTGTGCTGTGTTGTGTACACTGAGGATCAATGGCTAGGTAGGCAGCTGGCCTCAGCTCTGATCTTCACCCCATGATCAGATCACAGAGAGGAGCATCTTCCAAGTTGCAGATGATATTTCGATGGTTTGGAAGTCTCATTTGCTCCTGAAACTTTGATTGAACTATATCCTGATGATGATAACTACTCTCATCCTGTGGTAGGTATTTTCTGTACATTATTCCATGCCCTTTGAAGCAGGCATTATTATTTTTTTTCATTTTATAGAAGTAGAAACTGAGGCTTAGGAAGAATAAGCAACTTGAAGTAGCAGACTTGGAGATTTAGTCTAAGCTCTTACCCTCCATGGGCCACCGGTTCTAGACCTGTGGGCAGATGCTCTTGCTCCAGAATGATGGAATGGTTGACACCCAAAGTATGCACTTCAGAGGCCTTAGAAAGTCATCTGGGACTGGGAACCTTTGGTCAAAGAATACCTAGGTCTGCCTAGGTGCCCCAGGAAACAGTCATATTAATCAGTAACATTTATTGCTATTAATGTATGCATTGCTCTTTTGCGCTATTGGCGTTTTAACTCATCTTATGGTTAAGTGACTTGTCCAAGGTCACACAGCTCTGAGTGGGAGAGTAGAGATAGCAGCCTACGCATTCTGGCTCAGAAGCTACATCTTAACTACTTTGTGCTTACACAGATCTGAAAGAAGATTGAGCAGCAGTTTTCTGGCCAAAGATGTGTAGGGAGGGTGATTGTGGCAATGTAGACAAAGAATGATATTTTCAGTTTTGTTTCTATTTTATTTTTTAAATAAAAAAGCTAGTCCCAATTCTCTCAGCTGATTTTATTGCCTAATAAAAGGTCATGACTCACAATATGAAATGCACTGAAGAAGAGCCAGGCATGGGGAGTGGAAGCCACTCTGCTTAGGAAGGGTAGGCTGCTAAGGAGATAAGGGCTGATGGCGCAGTATTGCAGGCAGAACTGAGAAGTGAGGCAGGATCTGCAGGCTGCAGGACACAGGCAGTGTCCAGGTATGATCGTCAGTAAGGAATCGATTAGGCTGTGAAGCCAGACTGCCCTGGGTGAGAGTCCTGGCTTTGGCTGTTGCTGACTGTGTGACTGTGAACCTGAGCACAGTAGCAGTTTTAGACTATGGGCAGTGACTTCCCACATCAGCCACAGCAAGGGGGAATCCTGAGGCCTCATTCTCAGGCCTCTCTGGAAACCACCAAAGAGACTTAATGGACAGATGTCTGATGAATTGAGGTCTTGTCTTAGGATGACCAAACACCACACATCTGGGGTACACTTTTGCCACCCAGTGAGAGGCAACACTGAGTCTCAAGGCTGGAAAATGCATGTCTGTCCTTTGCATTCTGGTGATTCATTGCAACCTGGGCAGGGCTGCTTTCAATGAACTGCTTGCTGCCTTCTTTATCAGTCTTGCCTGGCATTTTGGAACCCAGGGCAAGGCTGTTCCTACCCTAATAGCCCCACCCCACCCAGGCCAGGCACAATTTAAGGCCCTAATAGTGTTCTGAAGACACACCTCTCATCAACAGACCTGGGCAAAGTCTACCCTTATTGCATCCCTTTGAGGCCCTGTTGGGAAGTGGGGTGGCCAGACTGCACAGACATCAACTTTATGTAACCATAAATTGTTCCTCTCAAGACCCCCAGTCAACCTGCCATGTTGAACATTCTTTGAGTGTTCATTCATTAAATATTATCTTAAACTTGACATGGTGGTGCATGCCTTTAATCCCAGCACTCAGGAGGCTGAGGCAGGAGGATTGCAAGATCCAGGCCAGCCTGGGCTACATAGTGAGATCCTGTCTCAAAACAAAACAAACAAAAAATTTATCTTCATATTTCCAATCAAAAAATCCAATCCTACCAGTGATTTAGCCTGCTGATTGCTTATTCCTCCCTCTGAACATAGAGGGCAGAGTTTAAAACCAGAGGACTAAGAAATGGAGCTAATGTCCAGCAGGCCAGAGGAGGAGGCACCTCAAAGGCTCGTTCTAGGAGAGCCAGGCATGAATCCCAAATGCACCAAGAGCAACTCAGCACTCATCCCGGGGAGTCTACAGATGGGACATTTTTATTCTGTTTAGTAAAGACATTTGGGATTCTTTTGGTTGAAAGTATCAGCAATTCAGCTTGAACTAGCTTTGAAAAGAAGGAGAGCGTATTGTATTCTTCATGGAAATAAGGACAAGAGTCACGAGTGGTCTGCTTTCATTCACTTCCCTTCTTCTCTGTTCTGTGGAGTGGGAAGCATGACTCTGTCAGCCCCTTGGGTTTTCCTGCCCTCAATTTGAGCCTCCTTTTATTAAGTTTTAGCTCCTTAACACCAGCTAAGGACGCTGATTGTCATTGTGCCAATCAACAGTGGCCAGGAGTGTACTTATCTCAGACCCCCGCAGCAACTTCCACAATCACCAGGCATTCGAAATGAGAAGGAAGGGTAGTTTCTAGAAAACAGGGTGCAAGATAGAGTAAATGACTGGGGTCCATACTGAGGGTCCTGAGACCCATTCATGCCTTTATTCTACAGGTGAAGAAATAGACCTAGGCGAGCCACTCTTCCCCACATTTTCCTCACTTGTTCAGCAAGATAGAGAGGAACCAGAACACTCCTAATCTAGTGCTCTTCCATTACACCAAGTTACAACTTCCTGGTTCCAATTTTTTTTATGGTATGTGTCCAAAATAAGCCTTAGTAGCAAGCTACCACTCCATATTCCTATGCAGTAGTTTCTGTAATGTCCGCATTTGACAGGTGAAGAAAGCGCAGTTGAAAGAAACTAAGTAATTCATACAGGTTTGTGATGGTTGCAAAATGATCTCCAGAAGCGGTCATCTTCTCCACTGTGCTGCCAGCCACCTTCAGGTGCTTCCTGTGCCTCACATCTCCTGTCATATTTTGTCTCCCAGTAAGGAGACAGCCACAGGCTGACTGCTGAGCTTTCCACCAGTTGCTGTAGTCGGTTGCCTGGACTGTAGACTCCCTTCATTATGGAGGAAGAAGTGACATGCTGTGAGTTCCTTGGCAGAACCCCTTTGCCCAAGAGTGATTTGATTCCAGCTGTTCAGGAAGATGGGCCTCCCAGGATTCAAAGCAAATGCAAATTAACGATGAGATAATGACTCCCCACTCCCCACTCATAAGCTTGTCAGGAATTTGAAGTTGGGGAAGATGGAGTGCTAACGTTTGAGAGGATGAGAATGTTATTTTCAAGCATCACTGATGTGAGCCATCTTGGAAGGCAATTTAGCTACATCTGTTTAAACTGGGACCCTGTCCTGGAGAAATAATTACACACACCCTTTGGGAATCATGTTTGAGAATGTCACAGCACTGTGAAAGTGAAAACTTGGGAACCACCCAAATGTTGACCAATGGGGAAATGGCTAAATAAAATGAGGAACAGTCATGGACCAATGGATAAAGCAATGAAAGCGATAAACCCTTTCTAACATTTGATCAAATCTAAGATATTGTTGATTCTTATTTGAGGTAATTTTGTTCTGTAAAGTCATTGTGAACACTGAGTTAGCAAATACTGAACCATTGCTTGTAGGTGAAATACAGGATAAGGTCCTGTGAACCTTTGGTCGTTTGACATTTGTCAACTGATCAATATGTAACCTAGTTTTATGTATATATCTATTTAAAGATAACTTATTTAATATGTTCTGTTGACTCATTAACATTGGACTGATAGCCACTGAAGATAAAATTTGTTCCAGAATGAAGCTTATTTTAATATACACATTTTCCCCAAAAGGTACCATCGCAGCCTTTTTTGCACTTAGGAACACAAAACAGCATTTCAGACAGCTGAATCACCTACAAAATGAAAAAACAAAAAACAAAAAACAAAAAACCCAAGGCACTAAACAGACTAAGAAAAGGACATGTGCTTGCAATATGCAATATAAGAGCTTAAACAAGAAAGCAGTGTCATCTTGTTCGACCCCAGCTGGGAACATCTGTACTAGGAGACGATTTTTTTTTTAACCTCTCTAAGCATGTACACAAATGACTGCAAAAGTGCTAAAAAATAAATTTAGGGCTAAAAATAAATTTTAGTGAGTAGGCAAATTCATAAATACAGGACCTGCAGATAATGAGGATCAAGTGTACATGTCCTCTCATTTTAACATCTCTGAAATTGGGGTACATTTTAGATTCTGTGAAATACAGTACATGTATCAATATGGATAGAATCAATCTGTGATTAATGTTGAATGAAAACCCAAGTCAAAGATCAGTATAGATCTAAACATGTAAATCAAAATACCATGATACTTGTCCTTTCTATAAAATGTTACAGGTAGCGAGCAATCCCCAGGTACTGGGAAGTTCTACCTATTTTAGCAGCTTGGTAATTTAACCATCACAAGGCCTGTATGAGGATGGTGTTATTTGTTTTCCCATTTTATATAAAAAAGCTAAGAAAATTGCTTGGAGCCACAAAAAAAAAAAAATGTCTATTTCACCCTGTAATACATATGACTGTTAATGTACAAACTTTCCTAATGTCATTTGGATCCTAACAAGCTAAAACATATAAATTCAGAACAATACATTCTAAAAGCTTTATTCCCCCACATCATTTATTGCCACAATATTTCTTACTTAGACATAAAGAGGCATATATTTAAGATGGATTTCATCAGTGGCTGAGTTTTCCTAAGTGCTGGATGAATGGGATGTTCTAGCTTTTGAATGCCCCTTTTATTTTAGCTTCAGAATATCATTCTCTAAATATAGACATCTTTTGTGTTTATGAGAACACTTGGCTAACTTGTTCTGTTTACACTGACACTTGTTAATTTAAAAAATGCTCAAGTTGCACTATGTTAGGTTAAGATGTAAAAAACAATGAGAGTTTTATCAGCTCTACACAGACTTATGCATGAATTATGAATCTGAAAGCTGAGGTACTTCAGAAACTAAATATTTTAAATTGAGACAAAATTATGGCAAAATGAAACATGAGTGCATTGTTACTCCAATTTTTTGTATGCTTTTGTATATTTAAAAAATCGCGTTATTTTTAGGACTTATCCTGGGAAACTGTTGGTTCTTAGTTCATTTAACTAAGAGCTTTTCCTCCAGCTCCAGTCCTGCCTATTGAAAGTCATAGGGCAAACACAAACATGTAACATAAAGCACTATGATACTATCTTTTGTTATAAAATGGCTAACAAGTGTCAAGCATCCCCTAGTTATTGTCCATGTACTAGCCAAAACCTCTTCTGGTGTCAGTAAACTTCCTGATTACCCTACCTCCCAAATGTTATTATTAAGTTGAACTGGAAACTTCTGGTTATTTAGGTCAAAAACAATCAGATAGTAGCAATTTCTTATGGTACAGCTGCACATCATTTCCTTGTGGCCATTCATGCTGATGCCATTTGTCTGGACCTGGCTTGGCTACCTGAGACCATCTGCCCCCTTGAGCATAGGGACAGCAGCTTGTTTCTCTTTGGATTCTGCCTTCTCCTTTACAGCATAGGTTCTGAATAAATGTTTGCTGGGTGAAGTGCAGAAGTTAAGGAAGGCATCACTGTAACTGAACTTCCTGTGTCTTCCCTTTCAGCGGTCCACATGTGCAGCCTCCTGGAACACAACTGTGCCACTTCTGCATCAATACCCCTGGCTCCTACGTCTGCAGGTGCAAACAAGGGTACATTCTCAACCCGGATCAGAAGACTTGCAGAAGTAAGATTGCTTTGCGATGTGTCTGTCCACTTTGCTGTTCTGAGATCTGGGCTCATTTTATTTGTCTGTAGTGCCTCACCCAATCCACTTGCCATCTCCCTGAGGACAGAAATAAGGTTTTGTATTTTGTGTTGGCCACAACCACAATCTGCCATATAATAGTGCCTAGGCCAGAGCCTGGCACATAGTAAGTCATCAGGCAGAATGGGAAAGATTAATGGAGGTACCTTCTCAGAAACTTGTGTGAGCTGTTCTCCTTCACCTCTGAGCCTCTTTACAGGGAGCTACTGAGGAGCCTTTTCATCCACTGTCTTTATTAACTATACCCCAAGGAACTATTCCAATATCTCATTGTCTTTTCTGAAGCATGGGATTATGATGAGTTATTTAACTTTAGCTGGGAATGATCATTCAAATTCTGTTTTAGAAATGTACAGGGATTTGGTTGCTTTGGTAAGGGATGCTTTATTGGTCTCCTAAATTTACAAAAGGGCAATCAGAAAGAACTTACGCTGTCCTCCTTTGGCCAAGCCCCAAAGCCTACAAAAAATTCTGATTTTTGAACCAGCATGGGGTAACCTACCCTTAAAAGACAGAGTTAACCATACACTGAGTGTCTGCTCTTTTTTTTTTTTTTTTTTTAGGTTGTGACTATAGTCACTATCCTTAGACAACCAGGCTGGTTGTCCTTCCCCAAAACAAGGTCTGGGGAAGCCTGCCTCCTGGGGGCAAATAGAACTCAGCTAATCAGATGTGTAGTTTTGCGCAATGCATAATTATTATTATGCTGCATGGGAAGCAATTAAGCATTAATGGAGAGCATGTTGCACAAATGGCTGTAATTAGTGTTGCATTTATAGAGCCAAACCGCATTTTCCATTTTTCTTCTCACTTTTCAGTTTCAGGGTTGAGTGGTTAGTTGGCTGGAATTCTTTCCACTTCCCATGATTAGGTCACATCTACTTGACTCCTGGTTCTGTGGCTCTGGAACCCTCTGGGCTCTGAAGGCCTGGGGCTCTGTGCTCTTAGGTTCCTCTCAGATCCCAGGGCCCCAGGTTTAGGGTAGCTGATATCATCCTCTTTTTCCACTTGAAGACTTGACACTTCTTCAGATTCCACAACAAAAATCACTCACAGAAAACACTCCTGGGCTTAATAGAATGTACTGAAGAATGAGGGAAGCCTGGGAATGGCCATCTCACATCATCTTACATACTGCTCAGCAAACAGCCTAACATCTCTTGGTCACCCCATCCTCTTCAGGTGCACTCAGCCTCTTACCATCTTGCCAGCTCTCTTCCTGCTCTTCCCTCTTTGAACACAAGGAATTCCTTTCCTGTCTCATGCGCCAGTGCTTGGCTGAGATCTGGGCAGCTGCCAGTGTCCACTTTCCATGGGCTGCCTTAGTCAAGCCAGAGGAATTCTGACACCAACAAATAAAAAACTAAAAAGCTCTTCTTCTGATTTCATGAGCAGCATTTGCCAGTCCCACCTAGGCCCACCACAAACCCTGATGCCACTGGACTCCTCCCTGCCTGGGGTTGTGGCACAGAAGAGCCTGAAGGAGAAACTGCTTGGGCTTCACACAGACGAAGAGATGGGGGAGCAGAGAGTCCCAGGTGGAGGAGGGACAGAGCCAAGTGCAGTAGCTCTCAAACTTCAAAGAATCATCCACAAAGCAACTCCTGGGCTCCCCACTCAGAGATTCTGAGTTCACAGGTCCAGATTTTCAAAGATCTTCTGACCCTCTGCTGTCATCCTTTGAGGTTCTCTAACCTCCAACAGTAAGAAGACTGGGGGAAGTGTCCAGGCTTAGGGAGAAGGGAAGACTCCCCTTCTCCTCTGACCAGCCTGCAGTCACCCGAAGCAGTTAAGCAGTCTTGACCCTCAGCCTCAGACTTAACATATGTACAACACTGTCAGACACAGATCATTATAAAGACTCTTTTGTATCCCTGGTATTGGCATTCCAGTGGCCCTGGGGAAAGAACAGGACCTTTATGGTCCAGATCTGAGTTTGAATCCTGACATTGTCATCTATCAGCTGTGGCTGCCTCACCCTGAACTGCTTATTTAAACTTCTTGGTGTTCAATTTCCTAGGGCTAATTTTTCCTAGGGCTATTAATTTGTTATGGCACTAACAAATTACTACTTACTTCATTGATAGGTCCTTGTTAGGGCCTCATTTTTAGTCTAGTAGACTGTGCCGTCCAGGGACCTTTGTTTACAAGCTACTTGTCCCTGCTAACACCAGCGATACTCACCAGGTCCTGGTGAGCAATGAGGCACAGCTATTTCCATTCTTCTCTTACTGTCTGGATATAGTTGGGTAATCTCCCAGATGAAGAGGAATGTGGGTTGCACCTGTTCACCCGAAGCACCTCTTATTCCCTAGGAAGTGCTTGCCATTCATTCTTTCATACATTTATTGATGGATCATACATTTATTTCTTCACTTATACATTTGTTTGAGCACAGAAGATACACCAGGCAGCATGCAAAGCACTGGAAATCAAGCAGTGGGGAAAACAGCATTGCTTCTCCTAGTTCAGAACTTGCATTCTTGCAAGGGAGTGACTCAAATAAACAACGAAGATAATTGCAACTGACCGTCACTGCAGCCTGCGCTGAGCTCTGAGCGTGTGCAGGACATGAGGTTAGGCCCAGCCTTGGCCACGTTCAAGGGCTTGTTATGTGCCAGAAGCTCCCCTGAGCGCTTTACATCAGTTGTCTCATTTAATTCTCACAATGAGCTCTTACTGTAGTTTTATCACTCTCATTTTATAGATAAGGAAAATAAGGAACAAAACCTTATACAATTGAGTCAAGGCCACATGGCTAGCAATGTGACGAAACCAGAATCCAAATCCTATTACGTCCTAGCTCTTAGGTACTGTGTGATATTATCCTATGTTCCTTGAGGGCCTCCAGACAGCAGCAGGGCAACCCTGCAACCACAGAATCTTTTCCAAGCCTAGGACAGACAAGTTCCATGGCCCACTGACTGAGAACTACAGTCACCAGTACTAATATTCACCTGATTGTTGGTTCCCTAAATCCACTTTTAACTGTGTTTTACTGTCACTACACAAAATGTGGGAAGAACTCAGGCAACTGCCTTCACGCACATTAAATACATTATGGATAGATAAGTAGAGTATAAATCTCTACCACTCTATTTATACTTTGCCTTTGTGGAGGGAGATGGCACACACAGCTGCCTCATAGATTCTTTGGGTGATAATAGACATCGGCTGTCAGACTTCCAGTTCCCTCTCCCATATGCCAGATTTCTGTCCCCCCCTGGTGTTTCAGATGTATGATGGCTTTTGAGAACCAAGTCATTCATTGCAAAGCACCTGGATTCTATATCCAGAAAGCCTGGGTCGGGTTGACCTGAAATCCTTTTCTCTATAATTTCCATCTTTCATCCTGTTTACAGTGTTATTCCCACACGCTCCACACATGCCAACTATTTTTTTCTTTTTCAGGAGATGTATAAACCCATCTTTAGGCGACCTGGTTTTTTGTCTCTTCACTGTCCAGTTAACTCATTTCAGGGCGGATACCAGTTATGCACATCCACTCAAAGACTAAGCCAAATGCATTAAAGAATCTTACCTTCCAAATTCTGCTCATATGGGCAATTTGGAATGCACTGGAGGCCAACGTTATTGATTTCTTCTTCCTTTCAAATAGTCTTCCCTTCAGTATCATTATGTGTGATACATGCAGGAACATCAGCATAGTTCTAGAAAGATGTTAGTTTTTGTCCTTCCTTTCCACCATTTAGAAAAAGTGGGGAAAAAGGAAATCTCTGAAGTGTGCCTCTTCACATGCCTGTTCCCTCCCTTGAATCCTTTTCCACTAATAAGAAAATACTTTATCTTTTTCTTTATATATTTTTAAATAAGGACTTTTTCTTCCCTTCTGGAGCATTTAATTTATCTGGAAGCTAGTAAAAATGCAAACATTTTAAAAACTTCACTTGGCAGAAAATGTAAACTTTCTTATATATATTTCTTTCTCTCTCTCTTTTTTTTTTCCTGTTTCAAGAGTCATACCAAATGCATTTTATTGTTCTTATTCTTTGGAAATGTTCCTGATATTATTTTTCCTAAGCTACATAAGTGATTTAATAGCTTTTATGTTAGAGTTTAAATAAGGAGCATGACCCAGAAAAATACTCAAAATGTTAGAGAAAGGAAAACAACCAACATCCTTCATGAATTTAGATGCAAAAATTCTTAACAAAATTTTAGCAAGTAGAATCTAACTATGCTATATAAAAAGAAAAGGTCAAATGCAAGGCTGCTTAACATTCAAAAACAATCAATGTAAGTCACCATATTAGCACACTAAAAAAAGAAAAAATTAATCTCCATAGATGCAAAAAAAAAGGTAATGGAGTATATCAAAGATTCATTCATGATTAAAAACTCTCAGCAAAATAGAATTAAAAAGGAAATGCCTCAACCTGATAGACATCTATGAGAAAAATCTACTCAAAGGGGAAAGACTAAATTCTCTCCTTCTAAGATAAGGAACAAGACGAAATAAAGGACAAAACTCATTGCTTCTATCTATACTGTTGGTGTAATGATGAAAGAAAAAGAAATTAAAAGTCAAACAGATTGTAAAGGAAATAGTAAAGCTGTCTTTATTAGATTATGTGATTGCCTATGTAGAAAAGCTAATGGAATCTTTAAAAAAAAAAAAAACCCACTACAACTAATAAATGAGTTTAGCAAGGTTGCAAAATAAAAAACTAATATACAAAACTACTATATTTCTGTATACTGGCAGCAAAAATAAGAAACTGGTATTTTAAAATACCATTAATAATGACATAAAATATATAAATTAGAGATGAACATTAAGGATGTGCATGGTGATACATTGAAAAGTACAAAAGATTTCTGAGGCAAATTAACAAAGATCTAAAGAAGTGAAGGAATACACTTTTCATGGATCAAAAGTTTCAAGCTAAGATGTGAAT